GCATGTACGTTCCAGGTCGGACTATGCCTTTAACTTCGAACGGTCCCTCCCAACTTGGGTCAAGGGTGCCCACATGACTCTGAATCTTCCTTAAGACCAAATGTCCAACTTGAAAGCTTCGAGGTCGAACTCTGGTGTTGTAATGTCTGGCCATTCTGTTCTGATACTCTGCTAAGCGTAGCTGAGCCATTTCCCTTTTTCCTTCCAGTAGGTCGAGGTTGAAGAGCAGTTCGGCCTCGTTTCTAAGCGGTTCGTACTGCTCTATTCTATCGGTTGGCATGCCGACCTCAACTGGAACCACAACTTTCGAGCCAAAGGCTAGAGAGAACGGAGTCTCGCCAGTTGACTCTCTTGGGGTAGTCCGATATGACCATAACATTTCGAGTAGCTCCTCGGCCCATCTTCCCTTTCTGGATTCCAACCTCAGTTTGAGCCCCCGTTTTATAATTTTGTTTATTGCCTCAACCTGCCCATTTGCTTTCGGATGTGCAGGGGACGAACTGAGATGACTTATGCCTAGCTTCGTGCAGAAGTCCTTAAACTTTGCATTATCGAATTGTTTTCCATTGTCTGTCACAATAGCATTTGGTATACCGAAAAGGCATACAATGTTCGTCCATACGAACGATGCGACTCTGGGCTCTGTGATATGAGTGAGCGCCTCGGCCTCGGCCCACTTGGTGAAGTAGTCCACAGCAACAACGACGAACTTGGTTTGTCCCTTGTCTAGGGGAAAAGAACCTATGATGTCAATCCCCCATTGTGCAAATGGCCATGGGGCCGAGATGGGGGTGAGCAGCTCGGGAGGCTGATGGATAATATTCGCAAAGTGCTGGCAATTGTCGCAGGTTTTCATAAATTGCTTTGCATCCTGCTCGATGGTGGGTCAATAATACCCCTGTCGAACCACTTTGGCCGATAAGGACCTAGCGCCAGAGTGGTTTCCACATACTTCTTCATGGACTTCCCTAAGGATGTAAAGGCCTTCTTCAGGAGTTACACACTTAAGCAGAGGCAGAGAGAAGCCATGTCGGTAAAATGCTCCATCTCGGAGTATGAACCGAGCTGCTTTTCGCGCCATCTTCTTTTGCTCCTTTGAGTCTTGCGGCAGAATTCCTTTGATGAACTCCACGATTGGGTTCATCCATGAGGGTGCTGGAGTGTCAACCTCCATCACATCTGGCTCCAAGATTGAGGGATTGTCCAAAATCTCGACCGGGACTGATCTGGCCAGGTCGGTCTCATATGCTGATGCCAACTTAGCTAAAGCATCTGCATTGGAATTTTCTGATATTGGAACTTGATTCACCTCATAAGTCTCGAACTGGACGAGGTGCGATCTGACTTTGCTTAGATATTTTTCCATTCGGGGGTCTTTTGTTTGATACTCCTCCCTAATCTGGTTTACGACCAACTGGGAGTCACTAAAGACCTTTATGTGGACAGCCCCCAGTTCTTTGGCAATGCGCAGGCCTACTAAAAGTGCTTCATACTCGGCCTCATTGTTTGAAGTCCGAAAGTTGAATCGCAGAGCATACTCGAATCTCTCGCCTCCTGGTGCGAGCAGGAGGATTCCTACCCCGCACCCCCTCTCATTGGAAGATCCATCAACGTAGATCATCCACGGAGGTCGGACTCGGTCGACTGAGATGGTGGGGTGAGCTCCGCGATGAAGTCTGCCACTGCTTGCCCTTTTAACGTAGTTCGGGGTTCGAACTGGATGTCGTATTCACTCAACTCCATTGCCCACTTCATCAGGCGTCCTGATGTTTCTGGCTTATAGAAGATGTTCTTCAGGGGCAAGTTGGTAAGCACCACAACGGTGTGTGCTAGGAAGTACGACCTAAGTCTTCGGACCGAGGTGACTAGGGCGTGGGCCAGTTTCTCCATTTTAGGATATCTGGTCTCGGCTTCAGTCATGGCTTTGCTCGTGTAATAAATGGAACTCTGTCGTACTCCCTCTTGCTTGATTAGGGCCGAGCTGACGACGCTGTCGGACACTGCCAGGTACAAGTGGAGCTTGTCTCCTGGCAATGACTTGGCAAGTAGAGGTGCCGAGCAGAGATAGTTTTTCAATTGTTCCAATGCTTGCTCGCACTCTGTCGTCCATTCGAAAGGCCCCTTCTTTCTCAAGACTTTGAAGAAAGGAAGGCACTTATCTGTTGACCGTGAGACAAACCTGTTCAAAGCTGCAATCCTTCCATTGAGGCACTGTAGTTGTTTCAGGGTTTTAGGCGCTTCAATCTCTAGCACGGCCTTTATCTTCTCTGGGTTGGCTTCAATCCCACGGTTATTTACCATAAAACCAAGGAACTTCCCCGATGAGACCTTAAAGGCGCACTTGGTCGGATTAAGCTTCATTTGGTACTTTCGCAGCACTCTAAAAGCTTCAGTCAGATCGAAAAGATGCGACTTTGACTGCTTACTCTTGACAATCATGTCGTCCACATATACTTCCATATTCCGACCGATCTGTTTGGCGAACATTTTGTTCACCATCCTTTGGTAAGTCGCACCCGTATTCTTCAGGCCAAAAGGCATTACCTTATAGCAGTACAGACCTTGGTCTGTTATGAACGAGGTATGATCTTGGTCTGGCACATGCATTTTGATTTGGTTGTATCCGGAGTAGGCATCCATGAAGGTGAGCAGCTCGTGCCCAGCCATTGCATCCACGAGCTGGTCGATCCTCGGCAGGGGGAAGAAGTCCTTTGGGCATGCCTTATTTAAGTTTGTAAAATCTACACACATTCTCCACTTCCCGTTGGATTTTTTAACTAATACAAGATTAGAGAGCCATTCGGGATACAAAATTTCTCTTATATATTCAGCTTTTAATAGTTTGTTAAACTCCTCAACAATTACATCACTCATTTCCTTATTTACAGGTCTTCTTTTCTGTTTTACAGGTCGGAATGATGGGTCTATGTTGAGGCGATGCACCATGACCTTTGGATCGATGCCGGACATGTCCTCGTGAGACCACGCAAAGACGTCTGAGTTGGACCTGAGGAAGTTGATCAGCTCCTCCCTAGCAGTGGCCCCCAGCTTGGTTCCTATGCTTACTCGTTTCTCAAGGCTAAGCAAAGGAATAAGCTCGAGTTCCTCTGTTGGTGCTGCGAATTCCCTTTTTCATGGTTTCGGTAGGTCGGCCTCGGGCTCCAGCAACTCGTCCCAGTTGGCTTGTTCTTCCAGGGCGCATACTGATGACCTTTTTAGCGCGGAGGCATAGCACTCCTTT